AGTACCTCATGAGTCAAACATCAAAGGCATAGCTTAGCCCTGGAGAGTCATCCACTGCCAAAAGAATGCTCCTGAGAACTCTGAGCTGAGGCTCATCTCAAGTCTTGAGTGCTCCAGTGCTTCAGATCAAGTGAGCAGCCAGTGCAATCTGAGTTCCTTCCAAACCTCACTTCCCCGCTTTCACGTTAATGGAAAACAGTGAACTCAGAATAGCTTAAAACTGGTCAATTTGTACAGATAAGTAGTCCCAGAAATTGACTACATAAACACCCCTTTTGATTTTTTACAGATTGATTTTTTACAAGTTTTAGAAGATGGCAAAGAGTTGATGATCATGGGTTACTCATCAGTAAGCAATTAGTATTTCCTGATTTATGAATGAAATACTAATTCTAATGATGACAACATAGATTTTCCATTTATTGTCTGAAGGAGCAGGGAAAGACTCAAAATATTTCATATATTCCTTAAGAGACATATTAAGGATAATATACACACACATTATAAAGAGGCTTTATTTATTTTTCTTTGAAAAATAACAGGTCAAAATGCATTCCTTAGATATCTTCAATTTCCCTTTAAAATGAGATAGTTTATAAATGCAGTGTCCATAATGCAACAAGTAATACCGAAGTTTTTATTTACAGCCTACACTTACATCAACATAGGGTGCTCTGAAAGCACTGTCTTCTAATTATTTCCATGGAAACTACAACAAAGGGCACGATAACACTGTTTGATACAGCAGATTCCCACTAACAAAAAATTATTTTTCAACACAGACGCCACGATTAGCCTATTAGTGCAGATGAGCTAATTGAGATGCTCTTCATTTTGTGGTGTGACAGCTGTTCACAGCCACCTGGAATGTGGTTTATCTTCCACATCACTATTGCCACTGCTGAAATGCACCACCCACCCTCTGACATCGTGGGCCACCAAAATAAGAGGTGTTACTTTTGGAGCAGCCCTTTTATAAATCCAAATACGTATGCATGTATTTCAGTAAATAGTCTGCTTCCAGGCCTATGTTGTTTATGGTAGGCAAATTTTAAATAGTCTTCCAGCACAGAAGAGTAGAACTTGCAAAATTTCTATTGCAAAGCAGTGATCTCTCTTCAGCAGACAGTGAGTAAAGAGTTAATAAATTAAAAGTAAACAAGAGGGATGAAAGGGTTAAATAGCAAAGTGCATCATATCACTTCCTTCATCTGTTGGTTTAACAGTCTATAAAGAACCTGTTTAACCTTCAAGACAATAAAGGTTATCACAATAAAATAAACTTCTGAAAACTTCCCCCCCCCCCCCCCAATTTAATCTCTTCTGTTGCAGAAGTTTGAGAGATTTTATCAATTCTGTGCCAAGCCAGCAGCTGGTAAACTTTACTTAAATGGGAGAGAACAATTTTGTGAAAATCTTTTAGTTTGACTTCTTACTGTACTAAAACCAATTTAAAGCAACTGCTAGCCACTGATTTCTCGACCTGATAAAGAAAGAATCACTAGTGCATCTAAAGGACAGAAGATACTTGTTACATCAATTAGAAAAGGACAACAATAAGCTGATCAAGACAAACAATACTAGCCAAACTACTCCCAGACATTCACCTCTGCTCTGCTTCCATTAATCAGGGTACAGTCTCTTGTGAAATCTTCAAAGGCTTTTTCAAACTGGGGTAGAGATCAGCAACTGGAACCAAGCAGTGGATTGATATCAGCATTTATTCTAATAGCCCAAAACCTAAAAACCACCCTTTGTAATTTTGCTGTGGCTCAGTATAGTAATGCAAATCTGCATGACATATCACGGGGCCACGTCCTCTACAAAAAGAAAAACATACAAAAGACTGCTAGTTTTGCATTTGACCTAAATGTTTAGTCTGCCAGATCTGATATAAAAATATTATTATTATTTTTTTTAGTTCTTCAAAGATCATGGCTTTTGAACGTACCCACTACTACCTTATCTGTGGTCTCATGAGATTGAAGCAGTATTAACCTGCTGTTCAAATTCACAGTCAGAGCATGAACTTCTACATCATCCACACTACTGGAATGCTGGTTTTGCTTACATATGGACATAAGTGGATTACGCCATCTGGTATTAGGAACTACAGCCCTTTCACCAGTTTCTGTAAGAGAAAGACTGGCCAGCAGCTATTAATTCTGAATATCTAAGAAAACCTTTCAGATTCTTCTTTTTAAAAAAAAACCCTCTCAAAAGAAAAAACAAAAAAGGTCTTTTATTCTAAAAATATGTTTCTGCCTTCTGCGCAGTATTTGGAGGGTTTTCAGTTCTGCTATTTTTTTTAATATATAGGAAACATTTTCAAGAACATTTGAATTTTGAAACAGGTCAGCATACAGTTTGGGTTTCCAGGGACCACAAGAAAGAAGTTTTGAAACACATGATTACTGGTTTTGCACTTTTGAGAATATTTCAGAACGAAAGATCTTTCATATCTAATGACAACTGCTCAAAACTCAAAATGGTATCCTTAAAGATAAAACAATATTTTTTTGTTTCTTAAATGCTTTTCTTTCAGAAGAATTTTAAGAGCTTACAAGTTCCACTCTGACATGGAATATCCACATTTTGGTTTTTTTTTTTTTTGCTAATGAAAAACACTTGAGAAAAGAAAACAGCTTTTAAAAAGAATGAATGATCATTTTAAAATTTTGAAAAATGATTTGAAACAGTAAGATCTTTACTACATCAAGAACAAAATTCAAATAATATGTAAAAAATGTCATAAAACGAACAAACTTAAAGGTCCTTATCTCTAAAAGATGAATCAGCTCTAAGATGCCCAGCACTTCCAGACATCATATCCAATTTGTTTGCATACTTGTCAAATCCAAATGCTGATATCATTCCACAGTCAATTACAGGTGCAACACTCCTCTAAAATATTATGGTACGGAGTCACCTCCAAAAACGTTTATTTGACTCAGGCAATGGTGAAATACTATGTGCAAAGGCAACCAACCAGTTTTAAATATATTTAATTTCATTTGGAACATAACAGATAATTTACATTAATTACATTGTACATCTCTTGGCACACCCTGAAGTAGGCTTACCCTGAAGACAGTTAACAGAAGAGATAACTGCTGTACCATGAAACAATAAGTGGTCAGAGGCATCGTCTTACTCCAAAAAAAAAAAAACAAAAAACAAAAAAAAAACAGCCAACCAAACATATAAACAAATAAGAAGACTGGGTAAATTAAGCTATATGCATGTTTCAAAAAGAGGTACTTTACTACAGCATGTGTTGACTAAATAAACAGCGGGTGAAGCTGCTGCTAGCTCACAAGGTGTTATTCACCACTTCTTTCCCCTACTACTGACCTCACTTGATTCCTCTCCCATGGTCAGATAGCCTCAATTGGCACTCACTCAACTGGTACCTATGACTTTATGAAGTCCTTAAATGCAAACTTCTTAGGTTGGAAAGTTTTTTGGTAGTTATCAGCACTTGACTCATTATTAACACACAGTAGACATAACCATGATCTGTATGGTCCAAGGAGGTCTCTACTGCTCTCCAATAGAAGGGCGTGATTTGGTTAAGCAGAACACAGAACAAGAAAGACACAGAGCTCTTGGATCTGGTCCAGAAGAGAGCCACTAAAATGATCAGAGGGCTAGAGCATTTCTCCTCTGAAGAAAGGTTGAGGGAACTGGACTTGTTTAGCTTAGAGAAGAGAAGGCTCTGGAGAGTCCTCATTGTAACCTTCCGGTACTTGAAATGAGCATATAAACAAACAGAAGGGAGAATGACTGTTTACATGGGTTGATAGTGATAGAACAAGGGGGAATGATTTTAAACTGAGACAGGGGAGGTCTAGGTTAGATATCAGGAGAAAGTTTTTCACCCAGAGGGTGGTGACACAGTGGAACAGGTTGCCCAGAGAGGTTGTGGATGCCCCATCCCTGGAGGCATTCAAGGCCAGGCTGGATGGGACTCTGGGCAGCCTGGTCTAGTGGTTGGCAACTCTACCCACGGTGGGTGAGGGAGGAAGGGGGGTTGAAACTATATGATGTTTGAGATCCCTTTCAACTGAGGCCATTCTATGATTTTATGACACAACAGTAACTGAACCCTGTAGGTAATACAACACCAACATCAAGTTCAGATAGATGAATATACTATGACTTTATATAATCTTACTAACTGCAAAAAATATAAAGGACAGTAAAATAAAATTACAATTTCAAAATATTCTGCATAATTTACAGACAAAAGTTTATTATGTAAATCTTCACAAAAATGCAACTAAAGAAGGAAATCACTGTATTATTAAAACAATATAGCCAAACATTTTCTAATGAAGCACAAATGTAAAGAAGAAAGAACTGGCACAGTCAACCTATCAGAACATTTGACCCTGTATTCTTCTTTAGCTCTCTGTTAAAATAAACACGATGTTTAAAAACTAAAAGAAATTTTATGTTTATATAGGTAAACAGTGTCCTGCTTAAGTGTCCAGATGTGTTTAAGAAGCGATAATATCATTATCATTAACAATATTAAATACAGACATTTTAGGAAAATGAGCTAGTACATGCATATGTATTTGTTTACAATTCATTAAATAATAAATATGAAATTGAGAACTACATTTATTATAAATCCACTGACCCTCTGCATTGTGGGAGCCCATGCAAGCCGTGAAAACATTGCTGGGGAAACTGAAAGGTTTGGTTAGGAAAGCCAACTTTTATGTAGCAGAGCAAAATCACTGAAACCTGCTTCCACTCACAATGGAAGCTTTATATCTTAATGCATTACTTACTGTTGTTACTCAAGTCCTCTCAGACACTATCTGATCACGTTCAGTATTACTGTCCTGCAGACACTGACTTCAACATGCAGGGTAAATGCAGCTAATAAGCATAATTAGCTCAGACAGTGTATTTAATTTAGTGTTGCGCTAAAGACTAATTGCCTACTCAGCGAAGGGGAAGTGTAACATTTTTTTTAAAATGCTTACCCGAGGGCCCTGATCACCTTGATCTCCCTGCAAAGTGGAAAGATGAGATGATAGGTTTAACACAGCATCTGTGTGCTACCCAGCTCTCTTACATCATCTAACATTACACTGGGTCAATACAAACTGTGTCTTTAGTTCATGCTGTGACGTATTTCCATTTACCTGCGAAGTGACACCCGTACATCAACTCACCTTCTCGCCTTTTGGACCAGGAGGGCCCTGAAAAAAAAAAAGAAAGAATTAAGGTAATGAATTAATGGCACCGTTGAAGCTACGGGACGCTGTAAGAAATATGTGCAAGCGAATGCAATCATTTCTACATAACAAAGTGTTCCCTTGTCATTTTTTGCACCAGACACTGGAAGTATTCCAGAAACAGCTTCTTTGCAGTAAACTATAGGCACTGTACAGTTATTCTTTGAATAGTTTGCTTACTCCATCTGCTAAATCAGACTACTTAGATAAGCAAAAGTATCTCTGATATGGCAAAATTTCTATTGATTTCAGTTATGGGCAACAATTTATCTCCTGTTAGATAATAAATATTTTCTAACACTGTAAAACTTCTTTTCAAGTACAGTTAATAAATTCAGAGGCTTATAAATCTGCCATTTATTTTGGCACCCTTCGTAGCTTAGATTGCCAAAGAAAAATGGATTAGAGAATCTAAAAGCAGTACTTTCACATCTATCTTTGGAAACACAGAAGTTGATGTTTAGTCTCAAGCACGTTATTTTAGGCAAAATAAGCTCTTTTATGAGAAATCTGTGCAACGCCATTCTGCAGAAATAATATTTATTGGTATTTACCACCAGAGAAACAGAAAAGCAACAGTATCACAAAACAGCGAGGTCCTTTAATTTCCATTTTTATTGAGCACCTTCCAGAAAGCTACTCACAGCTTTCTGAAACTACTTCTCAGGTTAGTATCTTGCAAGTAAAAATGCTAGCAGGTCTGCAGACAATCAGCTGCTTACACAGAGCAGATGCAACCTCCAGCTTTCTGAAAGACGCACAGGTGTTTCATTACAAAGAAGGACCTGAGGTACCTATGAAAGCAGCTGGAAACAGAGAAGGAGCCACCCAAGCTAGTCTGCTCACTATTATGACAGAAAGTGCTGTGTGTGCTTGTGCACGTATTGCGTGTCGAACAAGAAAAGGTTGCAACAGAATTAAAAATAACTGAGGTTACTGAGAAGAGTACACCTGGGCAGCTTCTTAACTTGCATTTGTAAAAATTCCTGCAGCCCACATAAATGCAAGTGCAGGGAAGATCAGTCTGCTGGGTATTTTAGATGCGATCAACCACATGCAACTCTGTTAATTCCTACTGCAGCCAATTTTCTACTTATTTTTAAGGACTTCTCATCCATGCCAGAGTAGAGCATCTGCTGCTAAATCTTACAAGGAGTCAAAGCATATGCCATTCCTTCCACAACCTGCCACCTCTTCTGCCTGCTGCAGAGGCCAGGGACACAGGAGGCCTCCCCTCCTCTTCCTTACAAAGGGCAGAGCTTGCTGCAAGCTGAGTTGAAGCCACCTGTGCCATTAACTGTGGCCTCTGCCCTTTTCGTGCTGCCCTGCAAGAAATCGGCCTCTTTACACACAAACCAAGCAAAATCACTGGATACATCTGCTGCACGTTTTAAGTCTCTCCATTTATTCATTTATTTTATAGGTCATCTCATACATGTTATCAACATAGTGAGTTTGCACACCCACCTTACTGGTAACACTAACTGCAGAGAATGGGAAGAATTAATCACTCAGTGCAGGCTGCTACTTTTTTGTTTATGGCGAACACAGAGCATAAGCAGAGGACTATGGCTATTCTATGTCTATGAATTATTAAAACATTACTGGCTATGAATATCTTACTGGCTGCAAACCACAAATAGCATGACCTCCATCTGCTACAGTCAGAATCCTATTCCTTGGATCTTAGGCATGAAATTACAGATAGCACAACATGACCAAGAGAGCAAACAGATGTCGGACTTTAAATCTTGCTGTGAACATGGGAGATGTTACTGTCATCATCCAAATGTTCAGCACTATCTTTACATTCATGGGTAGCCCTGCTTTCTAAAGAGCTTTGGATCATGGCTGACGAAGTCAGTCGGTTCCAAGCAGGAGGCCCAAGACCTCAGTAAACTAACATGGCTCAGTGGAGCGAAAACAAAGTAAAGCGTGCTCATGAATGCCTTCACCAGCAAACCTTAAGACAGCTAGACCATCTCCTGGTACAGCTGTCAGCAATATGCTCAGCCAACTCCACCTGCAGAGGTGCCCCTAGTGTGTTTCCTGGAGATTTTCCTCTGATAATGGAATCTCTGAAAATACAATCCACAGTTGGTTATTTTGTTTTTTTTGTCTCATTTTTTTTAAAATGAGGCAATCACAGACTTCAATTCAATTTTGTTCTCCTTTCTTTAAACAGGGTTTTCTGAAAATTACCTGTCCTCATGGTATTCAGAAATCTATTTTCCATTCATTGCTCTCTAAGGGGCAAAGCATGTAATTAGAACCATTTGAAGTTAACTCACCCTTTCAGCATATAAGCTTTTTTCATGCAAAGCTTTCATCAATATATGACAATTTTATTGTAGAAGAGGTTAAAAACAGCTTTTTTCAAAAGGCCACAAAAGCATTTTTGGCATGAACATTCTCACAAGTCTCTGTACTTGCATTTCTAATGCTTCCCCTTAGCACTATCTAGCTTGGAAAAAAAAAAAAAAAAAAAAATCAACAAACAATCCCAAACAAAAATAGTTCTTTCAGACGCTATCAAAAAGAACCAGTAGGGTTTCACTAAAGAAAATTAATGCAATTCTGACATGGCAAGGTCACCCATCTTTGGTTCTTCCCTCATTGCTTCAATTGTTCTCTGTTGTTTCTGCAAGCTTAAAAAGAAAATTCCTATCCTCAGTCTTTGACATATTCTTTCCATTTGTGCTGAGAAATTCTCCCAAGGTTTTTACAGCAGACTTTATTAGTGTGTGTACACTGAGTGGAGGAAGGGAAGGAAAAAAAAAAATCTGAGGAAAAGCTGAGTTTATGGGGGCAGGGCGTGATTAGGAGATGGATTTGTTTAAAGGAGGACAAGATTTCTTCTGTAGAAGGCTGCAGACACAAAGAACTGAGTGAGTAAAATAACACTGGCTTTGCGGGCCACAGCATAGACATCCTGCTTTTTTCCCAAGGAGACTTCTGCACTTTCGTTTATGAGATGGCAGAGATCAAGCCACTAGCTGCTGCACAAATGTGAAAGCATTTTGTGTAAGTTATATGAAACGTCTGAGGTCAGAGCATTTCTGAAATAACTTAACAGTGTTTTCACTGGAAACAGAGGCTCTTTTCTCAGAGTGTAATTATCTGCTCCAGACTACTATATATTTCCAAAGAGAGTTTATAGCCTGTTTCACATAAGGAAAGGCTTGTAAATCACAAACACATGCAAAATCTGCATTCATAATTAGGCGACAAATACTACTGTTTTTTAAAGCAAGATCTTCTAAAGCAGACTGAAAGGCCTCCGGGCACCTGCCAGCCAAGAACTGAAATCAAGGTCAAATCCATTCAACAGCCATGTTCAGGATTATTGGCAGATGATTTTTTCTTGGGGTGGCAGTGGGATAGAGACTATCAAAATCTCATTTCTCTTCTCTCATGAAATTCTTACATTACTATAAATGTATGTAGTAAGGAGTAGAGGGGCAAGAGGACACAACATTGGAAAACAGGAGACCAACACTTGTGGTCTTTACTCAGACAACACTCCCACCTAGGTTAACTAGATATTCTTGAGTGTGATCAGCATGATTTTTCATATAATTGGTATTTTACAATTCATTTCCTGAAATAAGCTTAATTTGCATTCCACACTTTTCAGCCAATACCTCCTTCATAATTTTTCAAGGTACATTTTAGGGGAGACTTATATTAGATGTTAAGGAGAAATTTTTCATTCGGAGGGTGGTGAGGCACTAGGACAGGCTGCCCAGAGTAACTGTGGAAGCCCCATCCCTGGAGGCATTCAATGCCAGTCTGGATGGGGCCCTGAGTAACCTGGTGTAGTACTTGATATAGTGGTTGGCATTCCTTCTCATGCCATGGGGGGGGTGGAACTAAATGATCTTTATGGCCCCTTCCAACTGAAGGCATTCTATGATACATTCAGTGGACATCTTCAAGAGACAGTATTTTATTTATACTCATTTAGGAAACATTCAGAAGGTTCTGGAGTCCCTGACAGATATAAATCTTTTTCTACTGCTACATATCTGTCTTTAACTGTAATAAAGCAAGTTTGACCATGACTTCACAAAAGGCTCCAAGAATCAATAGACATGCAGAAATGAAAATACTAAGGGATATTCTGAAAGGAATTTAAAGAAACAGCAATGTTTCCAGTCTAAGTCAAAAGCTCTGAAGTCTTCGCAGAGGAACTGGGACTTTTTAGTGACAGTTGGATAACACTGCATAAAGAAGCTGCCCATATCAAGCTGGTAACAACCAATCTAGTGAAATCAATTGCATTGTGACCCCCCAGGTCTTGGTGGGATCATCTGGCTTCCAGATTTCTAGGGAACTGGAGATGCCAAACTTGGCAGCTTCAATCAGACAGAGCTACCATAGCACTGTCACTAACTCTTTAGATAGGCACCACATTCCTTTATTTCCACCAAAACAAATACAGCCATGGGTTAAGTCATCCTGACTGAATGCATCTTACAAGATTCTACCTTCATTTTCATTTTGGAAAAAGCAAAACACAATGCATTTACCACTGCAAGCAGACACAGTATCCACACTAAGACTGTAACTGGCAGCATAAGGGAACAATAGCCTTGCAGAGAGCACTGAAGTGAACTGGCCAGTCTAACACTAGCTAGGCAAATTCAAAAAGAAAGCCAATCTGCCAACTTGCTTAAATATATCTTCACAGTTGCATGAATACACTAAGTCAATTCCTGCACTTTACTTTGAAGATAAAAGCTGTTTTCAGCATGTAACAACATACTATTCAGAAAAAAAATGTTTGATTTTTCTTTCTTAGAAATTTTGCTCATGACTTTCAACTTTACCAAATCACAAGTTACTGAGTGGAACAACATTCCTTAGCCTAACATATTGAATATTAGTATCAGATATAATGAATCATAAGAAACAGCAAAGAATATTAAAAAATACAATATAATTTCTAAGTTCCTATGCTC